GCATTTGAGATGTGGGCGTACCGAAGAATGTTAAAAATCTCCTGGAAGGATAAGATAACTAACCAAGTTGTATTAGACAGGATGAACAAACAAAAGGAGGTCGTATTGAGTGTTAAAATGAGGAAACTACTGGGACATATTACACGTGAGAATAAATATCAACTGTTACAACTAATTATGCAAGGAAAGATTGAAGGTAGGCGCAGCATAGGTAGGAGAAGAATGTCAAGGTTGAGAAACCTCAGGGAGTGGTTTGCTTGCACTTCCATACAATTGTTCCGAGCGGCAGCCTCCAGGGTCAAAATTGCCATGATGATAGCCAACCTTCATAGCGGAGATGGCACGTGAAGAAGAAGAAGAAATATGTTTTGTCGCTAATAACTTTACTTTTTTGACGTTGACGGCTCTAGAACTGTTAGTTGTGTCAAATTATGCCACACCATACACATTGTGGTTGACTTGAAACAGAATGCAGAAGCAGTAGGCCTAGCAATAAATACAAATAAAACAAAACTACTCATAGAAACCAAATAAAATAGACCGGCAACACTTTATTGACGATATAGGACATGTGAATAGATTCACATATCTAGGAATGGATCTGGTCGCAAGCAATAAAGAAGAACCGGAAATACATAGAAGGCTTGTGCTGGCAAATAAAGTCTATTTCGCGATGGGCCACATATTCAAATCGCGAGATGTACACCGGAAAAGAAAACTCCGGATCTATAAAACAATAATCAGACCCATAGTAAGTTATGGTTGTGAAACATGGGAGGTGACACAGAAATCTGCCAATGGATTAGATGTGTCTGAAAGAAAAATATTACGTAGGATACTGGACCCAATAAGAGAAAACAACAACTGGCGAATTAGGTATAATAGAGAAATATATGAGCAATATAGCAAACCAACTCTAGCACAATACACTAAACTGCAGAGATTAAGGTGCGCAGGGCACGTGGTCCGCATGCATGATAATAGATTCCCCAGAAAATTACTAAATGCAAGAATGTAGGGAAAAAGACCTGTTGGGAGACCTGAAAAGAGATAGGAAGACGAAGTCGATGAGGATGCCAGGAACTGTCTGGGAACGCGTTCATGGAAAAGAACAGCGGTAAATCGAAATGATTGGAGAAGCTTGTTGAAGGAGGCCAAGGCCCGATTTGGGCTGTAGTGCCATTGGATGGATAGAATACACATTGTGGTGAATTTGCGCTTGGAGGTTAGAATTGAATTTGTCTGTTTTTACTTTGTTTTTGAAAGAATAATATCGTTTTATTTATGTAGTATGTTTTAATAATGTATCAGTAGTGATTGTGAGTAAAACAAAAACTATCAGTTTTAATTTTAAAGACATTTTAAAAAAATATCGATGTTTGGGAATAAAACCATATTCTAGGAGATGGAAATTCCTACATTAAATACAATATTAAAGGCAATAAGAGGTAATAATTTTCCTCACTTTGGCCGAGACAAGTTATGGAAATATTTAAAGAAATCGGTTTTGCTATGAAAAACACCTGTATTGAACAAGAGATTGTTTGTTGGCGAAGGCAATATCCGAGAACGATAAAAATATTTAGATTAGAAGAATGGTGAATTTTTTCGTTAAATGAAACTTGGTTAAACGAAAATCATACCGTTTTAAAAGAATGGGTAGATAAAAATATTAAGAAGTTCTCGACAAGCATTTCTAGAAGGATATTCTACTGGATTAAATGCTCCAGCAGGAAAACATCGAAGATTAATAATCACGCATATTGGTAGCGAACATGGTTTTGTGGAGGATGGTTTGAGTTTGCTCTAAAATCCACTAAAGATTATCACGAAGAACTGAACTCATAGCATAATGCTATGGTTGTTTTCGATGACGCCAGCTATCACTCAAAAATTAGTGGAAAAGTTACCGACGGACTCTTGGAAAGTAGATATAATTGACTGGCTCCTACGCAAAACAATACCGTACGATCAGACTATGACTTAAACGGAATTATTATGAATTGAAAGGCAACATAAATTGTACTATAAAACATGTCATTAATGCAATGGCAAAAACAAAAGGAATAACGTTTGCCACCTTATCATTGACAACTAAATCTAAGTTCATATGGGCTCAAGTAAAAGATGAATATTATATGCTATTGCAACTGTTTGCCAGGAAGAGATTAAAAAAGAGGTATCAGAGGCACGGTTTGTATCTATTCAGTGTGATGAAACTACTGATGTTTCTACCCATCACCAACTTATTACTTTAAAATATGGGCGGAATGGCCAAATTTACGAACGTTTTTGGAAGCTTTTAGAACCTGTTGCACATAGTGCCAGTCACATATCTACAAAAATAGAAAGAGTTGGAACTGCTTAATATTTCCGTATATCAGCTAGTTCAATATATTGAAACGAGTAGACAGAACAAGTCTGTTGCGAGTGGCATGCGCCTACAGGACTGTGTCTGCGGCAGCCTTATGGACCATCACTGGATGTGTTCCGTTGCATGTTTTGGCGGTGGAAAGAAAAGAGCTTTATGAGAGAAGAGGCCCAAACCTTACTGTGGCTGAGAGAAGACAGGTAAGGGAAATGTCAGTTGAAAGATGGCAAGAAGGATGGAACAATACGGAGGATGTGGCACAGTGGACGAAAATGCTGATCCCTAACATAAGAGTTTGGGTGGACTGTGACCACAGGCGATTGGATTATTTCTTGATGCAGGTGCTCACAGGACACGGGTGTTTTAGGGCCTACCTTTATAGGATCGGTAAGGCTGATACAGATGAATGCCTATATTGTGGATACTCGGACACTGTGACACATACTATGTTATATTGCAGCAGATGAATAGTGGAAAGGAACAGAATGGAGAGAGAGACAGGTGTGAATTTTGTTACAGTGAGAGAAATGATTGAGAGAATGATTGAAAATAAATTAGGTTGGATTAACATACACAGTTATATCCGTGCAGTGATAAAAAAAAAGGAAGAGGAAGAAAGACAGCTGGACCAACGGCAAAAGTGGAGTGAATGATGCTGAAAGGTGAAGTTAGAACAGTATGTCACACTTTTTGAGTTAGAATGCGTGAGTTTGACTGTGGGGAAGGAGGAAATGCCCTTCTGAGAATGATGCCGAACTAGGAGTGTGGATGTGTATGAATGGAGAATGAATGAATAAAGGTAGTGCTTCGGAAGTGATGCCGGCCTTACAGCGACCCGGATGACAGAGGAGGGTCTGGTTTAGCAGGTAGGCGTTCAGCGTAGACTCGGCGACGAGAGGGCATTTTAAAATACCCCGGGAACTATCGCCGGGAGTATGAAGAACGAATCCTGCACTAAGGTTAGTCAGGCGGCGTCTTGGACGTCTTTTGAAGATTCCAGACCCCCCAGAAGTATTATAAGAAGATTTTACTTACGTATGTTATGTGCATTATTATGCACATCAATTTAATTTAATATTGCAGAAAGTGTTTGTGAAATGTAGCCAACTTATTTGCCACTTTACATGCATTTTCGCCTTTTTTTTTCAACATCAGCAAAGAGAAGGAATTTGAACAATTTTTGCATACACAGAGCTTCTAAAACATTCTCTAAAGACTATATTACGAGTGCAGTGGGAATGCTTTTACCACAATAAACCTAAAAATACTAAATATTTCAATACCTAAAGGAAGTAATTAACAAAACAAAAAAGTAATAGTTAAATTTTTTTCTAATAAGGAAATAACATGTATTGTGATCCATTTAAGTTAGTTAAGAAATTTTTAAGTACACGTTTTGAATCATCATGTACATTAAATATTATTTTATCAACAAAATGTTTAAGTTTCATCAAAATAGATGAAACTAAAAAAATTTTCCCGAACAAAATGTTCGCAATTTCAGTATTTATAAAGATACTACTCTCATAAACCTTTTAAGTTTTACAAAACAATAAACTGCGTCATTTAATTTAATATTTTCGCAAACACCATATAACTACGCTAAATTTAAGTCTCAAAATACCATACAAGTTAAAATTAAATACGTGTATCAAATATTACGTCCTAGTTACAGTGAAAGGCACATATTAATCACCGTTTCAAAAATGGTGTGTTCCTAAACACATCATTTACCTAAATCCATTAAAAGCCATAAATATTTTTATCAAATAAAATAAAATGTATAAAAAATATTTAAATACAAGTTTTGTATGTGCGAATCAGTAATAAAATTACTTACACGTTGTTTATTACGTATGTATTACGATATATTCGAACTGGAGATGGGCTTAAAATGACATGACTAAATGTTAATAGTCTAATGCAAGTACAGTTTCAATAGAAACCGTGTCTGATAACTTATCAAGTTCATCAGTTAAAAGGAATATTCACGTTTCAAGTTCCCAAATAAAACAAAGAACCAGTGCACAGTGTGCAAATCTACGACTATAACACTTGGACACCCTGTAATTTGTGGATCTACTATTCAAACACTTATATAATTCTACAGAAATGTTAAAATATTAGCAAATAGTTAAGTATCTGTCAAAAATAGTTATCTCTTATTGGACAGTTTAGAGAATAATCAATAAACAACATTAATTTTAGTTCTCAGTGAGACTGGTTGATGTGTTAATATCTAATTGACTTTGTTTATATTTGGGAATATATTGTGCGCCTATAAATCATGAGTACAACAAAAGACAATTATTAGAAAGTTTTGTCGCGAAGATTTTAAAAGCTTCCGTTCTAGCAGCATATGTTAAATAAATTTTGGCAACGAAACTGTAGCTGGTGCAAGTCTATCTGAATAGCAGCTAATACGAACTCACACATACATACGCCACTGAATGAACGCCGAGCTTTCAATAGTCCACCGAAGTGAGGAGTTCGGTGACCCGCGGCAATTTGTCGTTCGTCATAACCGGCTATACCATCATTATAATTGGCTTTTGTTGCATATATATATATATATATATATATATATATATATATTATTATGAGTAAATAATAACTACTAGGCCCTACTCTTAATTTGAATATATTTATATATAAAAATTAAAATGTTTCGAGTTTTACTCTTGCACCCCTCATTTGACTATCGTTAATTTTACATTTTTAAGTCGATGAAAAACGTTTTACGAGTTTTAATTCTAGTAGAAATGCTTCTGAATAAATTTGGTATTTTTAAATCAGTCCTTTTTCGTTGTATCTGGTAAATTTCACAAAAATTATATTAGTCCAATGATTAGAATGATTAAGATCTAGTGCTCCAATTTTACATAACGGAATATGCATGTAGTAACACATTTTTAATAATAAGACAGTGTAACGCCGTAGCTACTTTGTCATGTCACTCGATTGTCACAGTGTTATAGATAAAATGTAAAATGACGCTTTTTAAATGGATCGCTCCATACTTGTGACTAAAATTCGGATGGAGAAGACATTAAGAAAAGTGTTTAAAGTTTTTAGTTTTGATTTCAATAATTTTTTTGTTCTTATTAGTAATAGACGCATAGATGTTTTAATATTAGTAAAGATTATAAACATTAGGAAAATCAAATAACTCTATAACATTTTGTTTTAACAAGAAATAGGAAATGCAAAAAAACTACATAATACATACTATTGTTCTGATTGGAGCACTATCTTTAATTTGGGTTGAGTTTACCGAAAGTACAAGCTGATTATAGCCGCAAATGTCAAACATGGAACAAAAAATTTCGGTATCGCAGTGTTGGCATGTTTTTATAATGTAGATGCTGTATGCTTTAAATATAAAAAAACAAGCTTATATATTATGTTATGAATTCTGTAATTTTTTATTTATATAAAACAACAATTACTAAACATTTGTTTCTTTGGAGATTAATTGCAGTTAATTATTTGAAATTTTTTTGGCAATTACCCTTTGATAGCTAAGGGGATAGATTTGGCAATCGTTAAATCAGCAGTTGCCAGATTGCAACAGATGGTTGCAATTAATCTCTAAAGAGACAAATATCTACTCGTTATTGTTTCACATAAATTAAAAATTGCAGAATCCATAAAATAGTATAATCAAAATGTACTTCTTAAAAGCTTTATCCCTTTATATTTAAAGCATGCAACATATGCATTATAAAAACATGCCAACACTGCCAAACCGAAATATTTTTGACATTTGCGGCTATATTCAGCTTGTACTTTCGGTAAACTCAACCTTAATTTGTATTACAATATACTATAAGGCAGTGGATGCTAAAGATACACAGAAATTTCTACTATTCTGAAATATCTAATGTATAACCAACTAAACTTATTGAGACTTAACCAAAAATTGTATATTACTAAAAGCATGCATATGAATTCAGGTAAAATATAAATTTAAGTGTTTTAAAATAATAAAGACCCAACAAACTGGTTGAAGCTCAATCGTATTTATAGCATGTAAAAGAAATTTAACAAATCTCTTTACCCTCTTAATTTCCAAGTACCCCAGAATCGTTTATGAATTACCAAGTTATTATAACTATATTTATTTTGTAGATAAAGTGCCAAATAACATTTTCAAAGCAACAGAAATAGTGTTACTTTTTGTTTATCAGCATTCATTTTACCTTCTTGAAGGCACACGCCAAATACAGCCATGGCTGCATTAAACGTTTCCGCTGCCTGTTGTAATTCATCTGTGCTACTGGCAAGGGTCACCGTGTCATCAGCATGTCTTAATGATTGTTAACTCACCGTTTATTTTTTATGTCCTCTATTATAAGCCTGTCGGACACCTTTTTTGATCCCCCCACTTTCTGTGTTACTATCAAAACCTGTATAATAAAAGATTTTCGAACCGGTTTATGCAATGTATACCATTAAGCGTAGAAAACAATAAAGATCCACGATACAAAAATAACTAAGGCAAGACTATTTTATAGTCAATAAAATATTTGCAGCGATTCAAGCTTTTCTGTCTTGCTATACTCATGTGGTAAAAGATTACAAACAATTTTCCTTTCAAAGATAGATATTATGCATCAAATACGATTCTAAACTAGACTTTCAAATCAATTTCCCAAGCAAAAATGATGTAGTAACCACTATATAGATAATAGGAAGCGGGCTAATCAATATGCACACTGGGACACATAAACAAACTAAGAGGGAAACGAGATTTCTATATATACTCTTGTAATTGTTGATTGTCAAAATTTTTATCGAGTTTTTGAAGCATTTTGCTATTAACCTAAAAATATTTAATCAAAGCTAACACTCCGATTTCGAGAACAGTCCCATACATTTCAATACCTTCAAATGCAAAGCGATCAAAAAATGAATATAAATCGATGCTTGATACGACACATTATTTGCAATGTTAATATGTCAAATTTAATATGAAATTGTTAAAAAGTGCTCAGTATATTAACTCAATATCACAAAATGCTAACCACACTGTCAATATAATTTTATAAAAGACGATTAGGAACTCCTTAAAAACTACTGGTTTAAGACTAGTTTAAAAAATGTTTCATATAAGAATTTTCATTTTTTGATTATGTTCATACATTACATATTCACAGTGTTGTATTGGATATCACTTGCATCAGGCAGACAAATGACAAGTGGTGGCACAAGGTCTCATGACAGATAGAGTTTAAGGAATTAGAATAAATTATTATTATACTAGCAATTAATAAAGATGTACAACAATCGTTATTAAACATTATTACAGTATGGGAAAACAGACATAGCGGGTAATGCAAATAGAGTGCTTATAGAATTTTAATTGAATAATTAGATACAAAAAAATGGTTGCCGTGGTTCCCTATATTGTAACGTTATAAACGTCACATGTTTGTTTTTCTCCAAGGAATTATTTTGTTCCAATTTGTTTTGATTTGGTTCCTTCGTTTTACCAATTTTATTCTTAACATAGGTGGCGCTCAACTTTTCTTTTAACTAAATATTTTGTTTAATTATTTTAGTTATTTCAGTTCTATTCTCATTTAGTCTTTGTAGATCCCCATATACTCTTTCTATACTCCCGTGTACTAATTTAGCTAGTTCCAACTAGCTACCAAAATTGTTCGGGTGTTGGTAATTCTGCTCGCCAGTGCCACATATCACCTCAAATTAATTGAAGTAGGGGTATATCTTTTACGTATTTAAAATAGAATTAAAGTTCATGAACCTAGTCAATCTTCTTCTATGGTTTTTGTTTGTATTGTGCTTTTTCTTGTTCCTCTTTTCAGTGGGGCTCCCTAATACGTGATGTTGACCACAACAACTGCTTAAATTGATATAGCAAGCTACAATCCTAGCTACTACCACTACGGCGAATATCAATGTTGCTACCATTAAAGCCAATATTAATGCTTCTGCTACTACAGCTTACATTTATTTTCATGTGAAGCTACAATCAGCTCTCCTGCAGATGTAACAGTATCTCTGTATTAGCTTTAAGTATATTTTTATATTTATTTTATTGTAAAACTTTATATTTAGTATAATCTTTCGTATAATACTATTTAGTATAATTGGAATTTTGATAGTGACAGGACTGAGATGTCGTTTTATTGTCACATAAGTAGCTCCCCACGTTGGGCGCCAATACGATTTTTAGAACAAAGATAGTCAAACAAAATGGGAATTAAACAAATAATAAAATCAAAAGAAATTGGATAAAATAATCATTGAAGAAAAATCACAAACGAGTGTCGTTTATAGCGTTACAACATCTAAAGAAAACCTGAATCGATTTAGCCACCTTTTTTTACATTTTCATCACAATCCAAAGGACTTTTTGCACCGTTTCATAACCTTCAATAAAACCAGTATTGACTTGTTTGGTGCTGCCGATGAAACAAAGATTTTCCGCCAACGAAGAAGTAAAAAATGGACTTGTCAGTAGAAAAATTCAAGGAAACTGTGCTTGATGATTTGCAAAAAACTTCTTGGTTGACTACATCGAAGGAAGAAAACCAATGAATGACAAATATTATGTCAACTATGCAACAATTTACTGACACACTCAAAGACAAGGGATCTCTTTTAGTAGATACTAAAAAAATATTAACTTTTCTGTCAATTAACATACGAGTACACAACTTTGTTAATGAATGACCAAAATTGATGAAATGGGTTTTTAATTAGCTGTACTCATTAGCTGTACTCCTCCGACTCGGCTTCTATTAAGTTTCATCTGTTTCAAAACAGGAGCTAGCTCAGGGGTAAGAGATTTCCGTTTAATTCAGTGGTAAGCACTGTATTTTTCTGATGAAGACATCTTTCTAATATAAAACATTTTCAAACTATGTGTTGACTTGAATTTATAAAACGCTAAACATTCTCATAACCTATAAATATTTGTACTGATTAACGTCGTCTCCTATAAAATATGAAAAGTGTGGAAGTTAAACTTTCCATATACGTTGCACCATGACCAGAAATGTTTGTTTTTTTTATAATGATTTATATGAAATTATTGTTTTAAACTCTCATTATTTCGATTCATGTTTAAAATTATTTTGATACATGAGCACCAGAATGAAAACGATCAAAACTAATAAATCTAATGCAATTCTTTAAGCAAATGATCCCCTTCGCCCTTTTTCTGCAGGTTTCCAGATAACGTGGGGTCATCGCTAATTCGCTTTCGTTTAAAGAAGCCGCATTTGTATAAAACAAATATAAGTAGGATAAGTAGCAACAACCCAACGAATACTGCGCCACCTATGACCAGCCAGTTGAGTTCGGTATCGGCCGAAACAATCGAAGGATAAGCAATGGTTTCTGCGGAAAATTCCGAAATCGATTCGGAACTTATGTTGAATGCTTTGTCTTCGAATTGGACGATCGCAGTTGATTTTATTACCACCCAATCCAAGTTGCTGTAATCTTCTACCAAAGTGGAATTCCATATTCTGGATTGTATGTCTATTTCAGCTTGATTACCTGAAAAAATGTACTAATTATATATTTAGTTCTTTCTAAACTTTCAGAAAATGTATTAAAAAATTGTAAAAAATACGAAATTTTTGTTTTATTAAGAGTATTGATCCGTTGTGTAACGGTTGTAAATATATGCTATATTTCATTTCAGATGTCCGTGCAGTAAAGAATTGTGCCTGCGGCTATATTCCAATAGCGCACTATTTCAACATTCTTTAGGGTTTCAGCTAGGATCTATACTATAGAATTTTTTATACGTCTTTATTAATAAATTTATCATATCTATTACAGTTTAATAATAACGAATAAGCATTATACCTGGTAATTACACTTGGTTTAATTGCATGCATCCAGTGCATTCATTCCATGCAGTGGAATGCATTTTAATAATTTGTACTTAATGTGCATGAGCAATTATTTAATTACCTTCTAATGGAATTATTTAATTACTTTTAATTTGGACAACTGTTGTAAACACCGTACCCCTATATATATATATATATATATATATATATATATATATATATATACAGTGTAGGAAAAATTTTATGGTCGGTATCGACCTTACGTGAGATGGAGTGAGAAACAGCTGTTTAAAAAGAGAGAGGTATATTAGGTACGCCCTTTATATCGCCGAATGGAAATATTAAAAAAGGGGAAATTCAACGTTGCCAAACTTATTGGTTTTATTTGACCTGTTGTCTTTTTTTGCATTTGAACAATGTTCTATCAAGAAGATAAAATGCTCAAGATAATCAAATTTGGGCGAAATTGATTTAAATGGTAGGTTACTGTTTTTTTTATTGGGAATATGCCACAAGTTTTCTTTACAATAATTGTAATATAACATTTTGATTTCCATTTCGGAAATCGTTTTATATAAATAAAATTTATTAATGTTTCGTATTTTAAGTACGATTTCCGAACTAAAAATCTAAACATCAAAATAATTTCCCAATATGAAATAATAAACAATTAAACATGCATACAATAACGCCAAATTAAAAAATATTCATACACTAATTTATTTGGCAACGTCTAGTCTAGTCTAGTCTGGTCAAAAGATCGAGTAACGAGAAGTAGAGGTGGGTCGTGCTAGTTTATCATTAAGAGCGTAGGAGCAAAATTTCTGTTAAAATGTTATTTCTTTAAACGGCCGTAAAATTTGGGAAAGTTGAGAACAAATAATCCAGTGTTCTTTATTTAGATTAGGTTTAAGTCTAAGTCTGTATTATTTAATACCAATGTGGAACGGGTTGCCTCTTCTAACTCGGTCATTCTTTTTAACATGTAATAGGTGAAGTTCTACCTAGTTTCCACGTCTTGGATTGGCCGTTTGGGAACTGTGTTCTGTTGTAATTAATACTTTAAAAGCCTTTCTGAAGATAAGGTACTTTTTTTAAATGTGTTTTTTTGCAGAATTGCCGAAAAAAGGACTTTTTATTTTATCTATTTGTACACGACAGCATTTAAGTGCGTCCCCCACCAATAAATTTAATCATCATCATAAATCACAGTCATCATAAAACAAAACATATTTAATAGCTTTGACCATATTTTAGGAATTATCAGTTACTGCAAAATTTACTTTTCGTTTTAGACCCGACTGATTAATAATTTCAGTAATCGCTGTTTTCTGGATTATGGTTTCCAGAAAAATGGCAGCAGCCTAATAAAAAAGTTTTGAATACTAAATTTTCGGTTAAATATTGTCCTGTTAATGCGAAGTAACTCTCAGTTACTCCAGATGTCCAGAGGTCAGTAGTAATACAGATATTTTCTACTTCTTTAACAACTTGCGATCTAATAATTTGCTCACTTTTGACATAACATTCCTGAAGTAATGAACCTGACAAAGTTTTTCTTGTTGGCGGTTTATATCCAGGAATCCACCCTGCAAACTTTTTAAAAGCTGGTTCTTTAACTATGGAAAACGGATGAAACGAAAAGTTTAGTAAATCTTGAAAATCAATCAGTCCAAGAAAAAGAAACTGATAAAGATGACTTAAGTCCATGGTGTATTTTTGATGAATTAATTGGACATGACTCATCTAAACATACACCTGTATCGAGAGGTATAAAAGAAGTCGACATGTAATTGTCTGATGATATATTACCCACAAACAATTTCGAACGGAGATTGGAACTGTCCATTACCGTGGTGAAAAAACCATCGCCATGTATATCGTAACTTAACCACTATATTCATAAAATGTTGTAGTATTGTAACAAAATCTTTTCCTTGTGAACACATGTTTAACATCTGGTATAATTTTAAATAAAAGAAGAACGCGATTAACAAGAAAAGTGGAAAAACTAATGTTTTTAAATGTCAATTTAGACGATTCGCGATTTAATAATGTGTAATGTAAATGTAACTATTTAAGTACCATTTGTATTATTTAATTTATTTTTCAAGTTACAATAAATATATCCTTCGTTAGGTTCTTTTATTTCAATACTTATACACATAAACGATAATAGCTAATATGTTTGTGTACTCGCTAATTTGAATACTGGTAAACAATCAACTAGTTACAGTTTACGAAAAACGGTTCCGATAAAAATTAAAAAAACGAGAAGACCCACCTCTAGTTTTTTAGGTATATTAGGATCGGAACCAGAGAATATCTGATCGGAACTAATCGTCTCACTAATGGGCAATGGCCAATGAGTGTTAAAAGGATTTTAGGAGGGGAGACGAAGGGGAAATATGATTGTTATCTTTGTCTAATTCGTTGAAAATATGATTTTATATCTGCGTTAGATATCCTGTTAAATTTTTCCTACACTGTATATATATATATATATATACATATATATATATATATATATATATATATATATATTAATATATATATATATATATATATATATATATATATATATATATATACAGTGTAGGAAAAATTTTATGGTCGGTATCGACCTTACGTGAGATGGAGTGAGAAACAGCTGTTTAAAAAGAGAGAGGTATATTAGGTACGCCCTTTATATCGCCGAATGGAAATATTAAAAAAGGGGAAATTCAACGTTGCCAAACTTATTGGTTTTATTTGACCTGTTGTCTTTTTTTGCATTTGAACAATTTCTATCAAGAAGATAAAATGCTCAAGATAATCAAATTTGGGCGAAATTGATTTAAATGGTAGGTTACTGTTTTTTTTATTGGGAATATGCCACAAGTTTTCTTTACAATAATTGTAATATAACATTTTGATTTCCATTTCGGAAATCGTTTTATATAAATAAAATTTATTAATGTTTCGTATTTTAAGTACGATTTCCGAACTAAAAATCTAAACATCAAAATAATTTCCCAATATGAAATAATAAACAATTAAACATGCATACAATAACGCCAAATTAAAAAATATTCATACACTAATTTATTTGGCAACGTCTAGTCTAGTCTAGTCTGGTCAAAAGATCGAGTAACGAGAAGTAGAGGTGGGTCGTGCTAGTTTATCATTAAGAGCGTAGGAGCAAAATTTCTGTTAAAATGTTATTTCTTTAAACGGCCGTAAAATTTGGGAAAGTTGAGAACAAATAATCCAGTGTTCTTTATTTAGATTAGGTTTAAGTCTAAGTCTGTATTATTTAATACCAATGTGGAACGGGTTGCCTCTTCTAACTCGGTCATTCTTTTTAACATGTAATAGGTGAAGTTCTACCTAGTTTCCACGTCTTGGATTGGCCGTTTGGGAACTGTGTTCTGTTGTAATTAATACTTTAAAAGCCTTTCTGAAGATAAGGTACTTTTTTTAAATGTGTTTTTTTGCAGAATTGCCGAAAAAAGGACTTTTTATTTTATCTATTTGTACACGACAGCATTTAAGTGCGTCCCCCACCAATAAATTTAATCATCATCATAAATCACAGTCATCATAAAACAAAACATATTTAATAGCTTTGACCATATTTTAGGAATTATCAGTTACTGCAAAATTTACTTTTCGTTTTAGACCCGACTGATTAATAATTTCAGTAATCGCTGTTTTCTGGATTATGGTTTCCAGAAAAATGGCAGCAGCCTAATAAAAAAGTTTTGAATACTAAATTTTCGGTTAAATATTGTCCTGTTAATGCGAAGTAACTCTCAGTTACTCCAGATGTCCAGAGGTCAGTAGTAATACAGATATTTTCTACTTCTTTAACAACTTGCGATCTAATAATTTGCTCACTTTTGACATAACATTCCTGAAGTAATGAACCTGACAAAGTTTTTCTTGTTGGCGGTTTATATCCAGGAATCCACCCTGCAAACTTTTTAAAAGCTGGTTCTTTAACTATGGAAAACGGATGAAACGAAAAGTTTAGTAAATCTTGAAAATCAATCAGTCCAAGAAAAAGAAACTGATAAAGATGACTTAAGTCCATGGTGTATTTTTGATGAATTAATTGGACATGACTCATCTAAACATACACCTGTATCGAGAGGTATAAAAGAAGTCGACATGTAATTGTCTGATGATATATTACCCACAAACAATTTCGAACGGAGATTGGAACTGTCCATTACCGTGGTGAAAAAACCATCGCCATGTATATCGTAACTTAACCACTATATTCATAAAATGTTGTAGTATTGTAACAAAATCTTTTCCTTGTGAACACATGTTTAACATCTGGTATAATTTTAAATAAAAGAAGAACGCGATTAACAAGAAAAGTGGAAAAACTAATGTTTTTAAATGTCAATTTAGACGATTCGCGATTTAATAATGTGTAATGTAAATGTAACTATTTAAGTACCATTTGTATTATTTAATTTATTTTTCAAGTTACAATAAATATATCCTTCGTTAGGTTCTTTTATTTCAATACTTATACACATAAACGATAATAGCTAATATGTTTGTGTACTCGCTAATTTGAATACTGGTAAACAATCAACTAGTTACAGTTTACGAAAAACGGTTCCGATAAAAATTAAAAAAACGAGAAGACCCACCTCTAGTTTTTTAGGTATATTAGGATCGGAACCAGAGAATATCTGATCG